ACACCTGTAAAGGACATGAGCTGGGAGCAACTTCAGACTGCAATACAGGTCTTGTCTGACACTTGTGAAAAGGAGGGAAGGAAAGATTGGGTAGAAAGAACTTTAGACTTCAGTGAAGTTCTTGTGAAGTCTTCCCAGGTTAATAGGGAGTTCCCGAGCAAAGGTTTCCCATTAGAGGAATCCCACTTTGGACAGGGATCATCTGGCTCAAATACCACTGCTGTGCTCAGTAACTGGAGAGAAGCATGTCCTTGGTGTAAATACATGAATCCAAAGGTGTAGAAGGTGGAGGCTGACAGTTAACTATGCTTCCTACAGAAGCTTCTCTTAAAGGTAGACCTGAACAGTGCACTCTCATGGTTGCTACACTGTACATTCCAGAGAGGAAGTGGTCCTATGTAATGGCACTTTCAACCAGATAGTCTTCTCCTGGAATGGTGCCATATCAGGGGCTCGGTATTGGTCTCTACTGCTGGCAGGTTAGACAGTCAGCAATGGCCGCAGCTAGGTCAGCCTGGAGGAAAAGGAGCCCTGCACAGTCTTTGCATTAGTTATCTATTGCTGCATAACAAAGTACCTCAAAAGTTAGTGTCTTAAAACAACAAACATTTATTATCTCACCCTCCGTATGAAGCCACTGACAAAGGGTTCTGCTAGCAGCTTTGCAGCAGGAGGAAGATTTCTCTTTCCAAGTGTCCTTTAGGGCAACCTCTAACTGGGCTATTGTGCAGCAGCAGTCCCTATATAGTCAACATCCACTTACTGTACTGACCCATCTGTGGGTGAGATCCACATTTTCTTTCTCCATTACAAAACTTTGGTTGAAGGGAATCTCCAGGGAAGCCGTAGAGTTGAGGGAGATGTGTTGGGGAAACTAACAGAATTAGATGTCCTAGGAATTTACAGGTGACTTCTGGATCTGCCCAGGCTCAATCCCAGATGTACCATTTTTGCACAATGGATTACTATTATGCCCACCCATAATGAATCTGATAACACTCCTCTGATAATTGGTGGCTTTGTCCCTTTAGTTTCTGGGTGGCACATTATCAATTCTCAGTCTCTCCTAGGGCCCAGAGTGTCTCTGGGGTTGTCTTTCAAAAAGTGAGTATTTCTCTACCACAACAGGCATGACCTATATGCTTTTCTCCTCTTCGGGTTTACCAGAGACTTCACACAGTATCCTTAGCCACAAGATGCATCAACATCATTGAATCTACTGGTTCGTATGCCCTGAATAGCAGGGGAGCTTGTCCTGCAGCCCAAACTGGATGCAGAACCCCACTCTTGCTCAGTCCCCCCTCAAAGCTGCTGTGTTCTGCTTCATTTGATTAATCTGCCAGAATAGTATTCCCAAGTGCAGCGTATTACTACCCCACTTACTTGGAAAGTGATTCCGAGGCCAGGAGTGAGCAATGGATAAATGGAACAGGGAAAGAAGAAAAGGAAATTCAAGCGTGGATTATTGAGTTTGTCAGTTGCTACAGGTGACTGGTATTTGGTTCCATGGGATCAACTGAAGAGTTTTCTGAAATATGTCTACTGCATGGAGACCTAAGAGGGGGAGCATTTGAAGTACTGGGTTGTGCACACATGTGTCCTGAGAAGTTTCCCATGCCTGTCTCCTGTCTCTGTGGGGCTCTGGCCTATGCCTGAAGCAAGGCACTTCCAGATTGCAGTCCTGCAATGCTGGTCAAAGCCTGAGTGTGGACTAGGTGCCACTGCAGTGGCTCCAGTTGGAGGGAGGGCCAAGAGAATTTGAAAAAATGTACAAGTAGCAGTGAAGAAAGTGGATCTTCTAGATCTCTTCAGAAGGGGTGCAATTCTTAATGATGAAGGAAACATTTCAAGTCTTACCAGCACCCAGAGGTAATTATCAGAGACATTTCACAAAAATATACTTGTCCCAATAGCACTTCTTGATTTAAGTTATTTCTCCAGGGATGTCTTCTCCAGCTGGCCACCCGGTTTTATTCAACGGAAGTACAGCATCAGAGCAACTGCGCGTTAGCCCTGTATAAGTCTCAGTGCATGCAGGTTGTCTCAGAGTTCCAGGAAGGTAAAGACATGACCAGTCTTTTGTGTCAAAATTAGAAATCTGTCTCAGTCCCGTATTTGACTTTTCTTTAACTCAGAAAATACTTAGTATGCATCTCCTAAGAACTAGGCATTGAGCTTGTGCTGAGGAGACTAAGCTGAACGTATTGTGGCCTCTAATCTTGAGGAGCTTGGAGTCAATTGGGAGAGAATGGCATGGAGAGATGGCAAGATGAGTTCATAGCTCTGTAAGCATATGGGGAAAACAACTTGTTGTTTGTGAGACGATCTGCAGTGAAAAATATTACCACAACCCTCCAAGATTAGCAAGGGAAGAATTGCCACTCAGGGAGGAGATAACTACACTTTCCTCTTCTTGCTCTGACAGATTCTCCCAGTTTGGGGGCATCTCTTCAACCCTCAATCTCAAATGCTGATAAATGTATCCCTTACAGAGTCGCCTATGGATTCTTTCCTATAGTTCACCTAAGTCCCAGGCTGGAACATTTGAAAACAACTCAATTAAGATTTAAGGATAACAGAACAGAAGGATGCCAAACAGTGAGAAATGCAGTTTACATAGTTTATATTTCTCTTCTTTTACTTCCTTCCTTTTTTTTTTTTTTTAAAGCAGCCTGGCTTGGAGCCCAACACGGGACTTGAATTCACGACGCCGAGATCAAGACATGAGCTGAGATCAAGAGTTGGATGCCCAACTGACTGAGCCATTCAGGTGCCGCATCATGTACATTCCTATATTCATATGAATGTGCATCCTACTGTGTTCTTAGTTTCCTGTGTAGGGCCTCATTTCCAGATAACTTATTTATTTAATGAATGCTTTCTATGGGGCTTAATAAGTACCAGCACTGTCCTAAGCACTTTACAAATGTTAACTTATTTTAAGCTTTATAACAACCTGATGAGGTCGGTATTATTATCACCCACATTTTAAAGAGGAAACAACTGGGGCATAGAGAGGTTAGTAACTTGTCCAGTTTTACACAGTTAGTAAGAAGCAGAGCTATGATGTGACCTTAGGCAGTCAGGGCCAGAGCTCATGCTCTTAACCACTACTATAAACTCCTGACTCTGGGAACAATTTCATCTGATTCTCTATCCTTAAGGGTGGGGCCAAACTCCATGATCTTAACACATAGCCTCAAGTATACAATATAATATATACAGACCCAGATAAACCCACACTGTCCTTGAGGGCCTGGGCATGGGCCTGGGTACACACAGTAGCAGCATCTGTCTTTGGGTTATAGTAATTACTGGTTTACAATAAAGTCACAGATAATACAAAATCATTAAAATAAAGAAATAAAAGGACAAAAGGGTAGAGATGGGGTTGGGGGTTGGAAAAGACAGTTGGTGTTTACATCGGAAAACCTAGGCTGAGGGAAAATCCTGCAAATCAGTGTACGACTTAGCTCTGAAATTCTGGAAATCAAGGAAAAAGAATATGACGAGTACATGGCTTTTATTGCCTGACTGAAGAAAGATCCTTGACAGTAGCAAGAGCCCTAGCTGCACAATCTTTTGGTTTGTGGGTTTGGCTGCTGTTGTTTCTTTGCCTTAAAAGGGCTCCCAGTAACTTTATATTAATGATCTACTAGATTTCTAACTGTAGCATTTTGCTTTGGTGACTCTGCTGTCTTTTTGTTTTGTTTTGGAACCCCATCCTTGCCCCTCCACCAGTATGTCATAAATTTGCTGTGTCACTTGAATTGTATTTCAGTGTGCCAGCCAGTCGGATGACATTATTTATTGAATTTTAGCATCTGCTGTGTATGGAACCTGGGTCTTAAAGGATTTTCAAACAATAGTTTTTAAAAGAAATATACTAAAAATAAAATTTAATATTGGGTGATTCGAAAGCATTCAGGCAGCAATGAATAGGCAGGGGTCAGTTATGGTAGACTTTCTCCAGAAGGTGGGTTTTGATCCTGGATTTAAACTAAGGGTCTTGGACTGGCAGGGGTGGAAGAGTGTTCCAGAGCTAACCATGACAGCCAGAATGAGGAAATCAAGTGTAGAGAATGGAAAAGACAATCAGGTAGATGTCTTTGAAAGATGACACCAAGAAATAAGAAAACAAAGGAGGTTCTGCTCTGCATCCTTTGGCGGACTCCATCAGGAAGAGGCTGACTGAAGGTACCCTTCATTTTATGCAACAGACACAATGCTTGAAAGTATAAAATAAGTCAAAAGTGGAGCGTCTATTGTGCATCAGGCACTGAGATTTAATTTTCATATCTACTCTGTAAAGTGGGAATTATTTTCATTTTGCACACAAGGCAGTGGGCTCAGCAGTGAGGTTAAGTGGCCCATGTGCCCAGTGTTGTCTAATTATTATACGGTGGAACCTCCAAAGTCAGTCAGTTTGTGTGACCACGAAGCCCAAGCTTTTGTATGCCACATACATTTTTGTAAGTTGAATATTGAAGATAAGCAAGTGGTGATGATTATTTGAATAAGTCTTAGAGTCATTTCCTCTGCGATTTACATGTCTACAAACATGTTTTGCAAAGGTCCGAGGTAGAGATTTTCTTGACTGAGTGCATGGTATTAGTTTATTTCATTAAACATACATTACTTTGCCCCATTTGACACCAGATAATGACACCGAAAATATCCTTAATACAATTTTTAGGTCATTCCGTCCATTAGGCAGATAATTTCGCAGAGCAGTGTCATAGCCAAACCAATCTACCGGGGAAGATAACTGAAGTTTCCCACAACGCCCAGGCTGTGGAGACCGGGAAAAGTGTAACTTGTGTCCACACTAAAAGAAAGCCTGTTCAAACACTAAAAGGAAGTCTGTCCGAGTGAGACAAGGGCAGGATCCACGAGGGGGAAAGTGGGTGGAGGCGGATGACAGCAGGCGCGTGTAGTGACCCGCCCTGGGCCCGCGACCCTCCGACCCCGCCCATCGGTGTGGCCCGACAGCACGGCCGCGCCGGGGTCTGCGCATGCGCGCGGGGCCGCGGCGACTACGCCGACACTACCGCCTTCTACGCGCCTTCTTCCTCCACGCTTATCCTTGCTCTCCACCCCTCCTTCCCGCGGCGCTCGAGGGATCATGGCTGATCCTCGCGTGAGGCAGATCAAGATCAAAACCGGCGTGGTGAAGCGGTAAGGAGCCGTGAGCGGCGTACACGCCGCCTCCTCTCCTTCGCCTTATGGCGGTCCGGGAGGCTGGGCGGAGCGCAGGCCCAAAGCGGGCTCCGGACTCCAGGCCTCACTTGGGGCTCCGCGGCCGGGACGCGGCGGGGACGCGTCGGTGCCTGAGCCCGCGGCCCGGGACACCCCCCCACCCCCGGCCGTCTTTCTTCTGGAGAACCGAACCGTTGGGCGGCGGGGGTCGGCGCGGCCCCGCCCCTCGGGCGCCTGCGGTAGGGGAGACCGGGGAGCGGCGGCCGGGGAGGTGGAGGGGCGGCGGCCCGGAGCCGGAGAGGGCTCCGTTTGGGGTCGTATCTCCGGGGTGCGCTCACCGCGGGTCTCCCTGCCCATCTTGACTGGTGGGAGGCGGATTCAGTTCATTACGTGCCCTCAGATGGATGCGCAAGCCCGCTCTGAAGTTTAGAGGGGACGCCGAGAGCCCGGCCCTCAAAAATGAGGCCTTGTTGGGGCCCTGTGATCTAACATGGCAAGCGGGACTCCCAGTCTCTAAGAACTTGCAGCACATTCATCAAACTTCTGTGGCCTCTCCCTCCCCTCCGTCAGTTTCCCGGAAGTACGCCCCAGAGACTGGGGGATGCTGTTTAAATAACTATCCTGGGTAGGCCAGTCCTGTAATTGGCCATAATTCTGAGTGCTTTTGGACACTTCAGTACTGATTAGATTTTTATGCTTCAGATCCAGGAACATCAAACTTTTTGATGAGGGATTCTCGGAGAAAAGGTAAACAGCCCCCAGAAGAAGCAGGCTATTTTGCAGTAGAAGTAAATGTCTAATCCTAGCCGTCTGGCTTCTTCCTCTTTGCCCACCTTTCCTCCCTTTGTTATTTCCACCGGAGGAAGGACAAGGCAAAGGGAAGAATAAATTCACTTACTAAGGTACTGCCTCTGAGGATTGCACTGTACTTTCCTAGAAGCTTTATTGTTACGACAGTAGGAAGATTCCGTGAGTAGTAGTTAAATGAACAGCCTTTCCCCCAAGTGAGACTGGGTTCAAATCTTGATTCTGCCATTTTTATGTGTTGCAGAATACCTTACATTGCACCGTGCCTCAGTTACCTCATCTGTAAAATGGTTAGTAGCCATCTCATGCAGTTCTTGCAAGAAATGCCTGCTGTGCTTTTTAACACAGTATGTGGCAAATAGTTAAGTGGCTAGTAAATATTAATAGTATTGTTTGTGTACCTGTTTTACAAATGAGAAGCTGAGGTTTAATGAACTTAAAGTAGAAAAACTAAACTCATACTAACTAAAACTAACATGCTGTCTCATGGCAGGACAGGGAAAAGAACCCAAGTTTCTGATCTACAACTGTTTAAGCTGCAATGCTCTAAAAAAGAGTATTTTTAAAAATGTGTGAAATAGGGGAATTGACATGTGTAATTGAAAATATAAATAATTTGCACTATCACTCACCCTAGAATTCTGTTGTTCACTTTTGCTAGGTTTTGTTTATGTAATTTTAATAGATCTATTTGGCAGAAGTACCAGGGTATCACGGAGAGTGCTTTAGGCCAAAAGTCATGAGAAATGACTCCTGATGATAGTTTTCTATTAATTACCTGTATGATCTTGTCATTTCTCATCCTAATGATCTACACTAGTTTATAAAATTAGTTCCAGTAGTCATATGATTATAATACATATTCTAGAGAAAACACACCCATTTAAATAATTAATAAGCTAAGTTTTTAGGCTTTCAAAAATTGTCAAGTGCATATGGAAATGGCTTGGAAATAAAGTTTGGTTTTCAGTTTATTTCAATAGAGCATTATCAAACTTTAATTTTGACTCTTTGTACTTCAGTACAAAAAATTTACCATTTTTGTGAAACCCCTTCATAATTTACTATTTACTTAAAATTTACATATTTACTCAAATTGCTTATAAATTACTGGAAATGTCTGCCACAGATTTTTTTCATGGTTTTTCTAAGGACATTTTGGTGTAGAGCTTCCCCATTTGTAGTAAAAGGGGATACGTTCTTTAAAAAACCTAAAATTTCTATTTTAACTGTTTATTATTTATATTTTACCTTGGTAGACAACCATCTAAATCCATAAATATTGTTCCCTGTCTCTCTTCTGTTATTTTTTGCCAGAAAGTTATTTTGCTATGATTCCATCTTTTGCCTTAGTGTCCTATTTTTTAAATTCTACATTTTACTTCAGCAAAGAAAAAAGTAGATAACGCAAGATACACCAGTAACATATTAATAATTGTTAGGGTGGAATGATCATGGGCTTCATTATGTTCTTCTCTGTATATGTTTAAAATTTTTCATAATAAAAAGGTCTTCAAAGGTATGCATTTCTCTCCTCTCCAAATTTAGTTTCAAAGGCTTCTTGATTAGTTTCATGATTCAGACATGTTCTTGGTTTTGTGAACAGGGTTCTGTTCAGTGGTTTCTTAAAGCAATGGGCTAAAAACCAATTTCTGTTCTTTTTTCTAGCCAGATGTTCATTTCCCATAGCCTCATTTCTCTTCAGAAGTCACAACTTTTATTTGAAAGAAGACATTTAAAGTCATCAATTCCTGTCTCCAGTTATTTCAGTTTTTCTCTCCAGGAGTTGAGAGCCATTAGAATTATATTCTAGTTATTAGTTCTAGAGTTCAGTTTGGGTGGCTTTCCTAGGGAGGGTGAATTCTTAGAGTTTTGTGTCAAATCAATCTGCTAGAATACTTCAGGGATCCAGAAGTTCCCTGTAGTGGGTTTTAGTAAGAAATCTGAGCAGGGATGTGGAAAGTTATAAGAGTATTGGAAATAGGCAATAAGTAGATGATGGTATTTGGCAACAGAGAGATCAATGAATAAAAGATGTGAGTCTCAACGTGTTGGCAGAATGGTGAAGGCAGTCCAGTGATGGCAGTCACATTAGACAGGAAAGTAGAAGCAAGTTTCAAGGGTTTTAGGATAGGCCCTAAGGAAATAGGCAGAAGCCTTACAGTCTAGGGAGACCTAAAGAAACCTTGTTATCTCATATGGTAACAAAGGGAAAGGATCAGATTGCTGGAAATAGGTTTTGAGAAAGAAGTTAGAACCCTAGAAACAAGGAAAGAGTCCAGTTACTAAGAATGGCTTGTAAGAGTTGGACAGCAAAGAGGCTAACTTGGTACTGAACCTCTCAAGGGCTCCTTAAATATCCCCTTCCCAGTAACAGGATTGTTTTTCCAGAGCTAATTATGGCTGTGAGAGATGTGTGCAGTTTCTTCAAGCAGCAGCCTTTTCACATGTGACTCATTATTTAATGAGTTTTAGTTGGTGGGTTCGGGTCTGGCACCAAGATCCATGTTTCAGACTTTTGCTAGACCTATTGGTATCTGTCACTGGGTCACAGCTAATGTAGCAGCCTAGCAGGGAGTTATCAAATATCACTCCCAATTTTCGTTTTCTCCAGTGCATAACTGAAAATCCCCCCCTCTCTTTTTTTGATATCTTGGTGGCATCAGTTGTCCCAGTTTACCTGGGACTGAGGGGTTTCTAAGATGTAGACTCTTCGGTCCTAACACTGGGAAAGTCTCAGGCAAACCAGGATGATTTGTATTAGTACTTCTGCTGTAACTAGCTAACATACCACTGTTTTGTGTGCCATGATTTATTTGGAGGCTATTTGCTGATAATACAACTGTGAATTGATTGTTGTACCTTACTTAAATTAAAACTTAACTGTGTCCTATAAATATGAATCCTTGCCAGAGTAGTTTTCTGTATCAATTTAAATTGTTAGTGATTTAGAAAATAACTTCTTTAAAGTAGAAGAAAATCGAGGCTCGATGTTTTAAATGTTGATATGGTATTTCAGCTTAATGATCTATGTCTACTGTAAATTCCCAAGTAAGATTTGTGTTTATAAGTTTTTTTTACTAGATTTATGGTAAGTACAAGAAATACTTCTGCAAAAACAAAATGTTATGCATTTAACATAAAAGTTTATTTAATAACCTTAAAGCCAACTTATTTTCAATAAAGCTTGCTAAACTAGCCCACTGGTGAGTGAATTAACTGATTAAAAATACTTTCTTAAATATATCTTTTTTATAACCATTTTAGATTGGTAATGGTTTAAAATCCAACATGAACAAAGAATGTTAGGGCATTGGAAATAGCACTGACATTGGCCCACAGTTTTCCTCTGATTAAATGAAAGTGACACCAGTAGATTAGAATGAGACTAGGACAATTCACACTGCAATTGTGTTAGTTTAACTTTAACAATCTTTTAACACTCTTGTTTAAATGTAGCTGACATACCATAATTACAAATCTACAAGCCTTGATTATAGAATTTTACATCATGAATCAGTGGGGAAATTGTATTGATTTTTTTTTTTTTTAAGCAAGCACCTTTCCCAAACGGTGGCATCTTCCCAAATAAGTTTATACCTTTACCTCTGATATACAACTGTGTATGATATATATACTATGTATAGCAGACATAATAACAACATAAAAGTTAAGTAAAATTTCCATGTTAATAAATATATATTCATATATAATGTATATAATATACTATATTGACATACATTGTGTATGTATACTGAATGTATTTATTGTACTGACATAAAAGTGAAAAATAGGAATGACACATATGTTTGCATAGACATAGATACAGTTTTTCCCCTGTAGCTTTAGTTGTTTATATACTTCTTATATTTAAAGTAAAAATGGATAGAAGTGTGGTGGGCAGTATCTGGGAGAGGTTAAGGACATAGCCCTGAAAATTTCCTGTAAGGTTTAGTAGCTTTTTTATCTTTTCTCCCACATCATACCCCTTTGATTTGAGTTAAAGTAAGTTCAGCCAAAATGGCCAACTTCCTCCCTTGAAATTTAGCCAACTCCTTTTGGAATTTCTGTAATGTATTCAGTTCTCTAAAGCGATGGTCAAAGGCAGTGTCAGAATGGATTACAGGTGGTCAGCTCTTCACCACCTTCTGCCAAGTACTTGGCAAGCAGTG